CACACACACACACACACACACACACACACACACACACACACACACACGGAGAGTTTAGGGCTGGATTTCCACCAAAACTTCCATTTGCAACCACAACCTGCTACCCCCTTCGTGGTCAATTCCTTCGAGGGCAGCAGAAAGTAATTTCTACTAGCTTTCAATTTATCTGACCTAGCCCAGTATCAGAACACTCACTGACTTTTGAGTGAAAGGACCTGTGTTTGAACACAAGCTCTGCTCACTTACCTGAGTGGTTTGGGCAAGTAACTTGACCGTTCTAAACCCGTTTTCTATTCTAAAAGAAAGAAAGAAAGAAAGAAAATTAATCTATAAAGTCTCTTCCAGTTCTAAATCCTATGGTTCTATGAAAGCAAAAATTAATCTACAATCAATCAATTAACATTTATTAAGCACCCACTATGTGTCAAGCATTGTGCTAAGCAATGGGGCAAAACTGCTCTCATGTTCTAAGGAGTTCACTCTACCTTACCCACAGAGGTGCTGGGTTCACCTGGGAAAGTAGAAGATTTAAGATCCTGCCAAAGGAGTTAATAGAAAAAAAAAAAACAAGAGTTACAATACTTGAGTGTCCAACCCAAAGGCCTCTGAAACCCCAGGAAAAACTTTATATTTCATTTTTAGTCACTCATAAAACAAGTCACTGATACCATAAAAACTTGAAAGATATGCATCCAATGTACATGGTGAACCTAAGAAGCAAGAAAATAATAGGTCTGCCAAAAAAGAGAAGGCGTAGAAAGCAGGGGAAGAAGAGTGCAGATAGAATGGAAGGGAAGACATAAATAGTACAAATGACAGAGTACAACAGGAAGGAGATGAACTAGAAGTTAAGGTATGATCCATCTCTGGAGGAGAGAAAAAACAAAGGGAAAACAGATATGGTGTGATAGCGCCCTAAAAAGTTTAAGAACACTTTCTGTAAGGAGATCTAAGAATCACTTCTTATACACAAACCAACTTAGACGGGAGAATGAAGAAATGGGAAAGGAGGTCCTAGAGATAAGAAAGGTGAAATAATTATAGATGAGAGCTGGACAAGACTTCATTAATCACATAAAGTCCACCCCTCTCCTTTTCCAATTGAGGAAACCAAGACTATGGAGGTTAAATGACTTACCCAAAGTTACACAGGTAAACTGTGGAAGAGGCAGAATTCAAACTCAGGTCTTCTACTGCCTTTAAAACAGATATTCCTTACTCTGTACCCGATGTAAAAGAACAGGGAAAGAGAAATGAGAATGGAAGGAAAGAAAGGGATGAGATGCGGGGGTTGGGGGGGGAGGGTAATAAACAGTGGTGAAGAAAGAGGCGGAGGTGTTAAGGCGAGGAGATGAGGGTCCTGGGGAATAAGATCCTGACACCGGCATCCAAGTGAGAGACAAACCAGGGGCTGGGGCGGGGCCGAGGAGGGGCCGAGGCTGGGTAGAAGGCTAGGCTGCTGAGGCGCCCGTCAGAAGGGAAACAGCAAGCGGCCCTCGGGAATGGCAGAAGCCGGGCGGCGGTTACTCACCAGCTTAAACCCGAAGCGACCCTGGCCCTTGCTCTGGTGACCTCGCAGGGATAAGCTGAGAACGGCTGGGGCTCCGGCGGCCCTGCGCTCCGGGAGTCACTACACGGCCCAGTGTAACCGCCAAGCCCGACGGAACCCTAGAGCAGAGCACTCCGGGAGGGAGGACCCAGGCGCAGCTCCGAGCGCAGGCGCAGGAACGGCCGACTAAACCAACTCTCTAAAGGAGGAGGGGAGGCCATGGGAGACACCACGTCAAAGGGGATGGAAAGGGGAAGACTCCAGCAGGGAGGAGAGTTAAATCAAGTCAAGGTGTCTGCCTTCAAGACACCAACAGCCTATTGGAGGAATCAGAACTTCTAAGCAAATCTGTACATTACGAGCCAAAATGTGATAAAAGTACGAGGGAGATATTACTCTAGGTTTTCTAGGTACACTCGGCATCTCTCCTCCCCGCTAGACTCCAGGTGGCGAAAAACCCGGATTCTTTCTGTTTACAAGCCTAGCATCGAGACATAGTGCACACAGCGGAGACTGAGCATTTGTTGCATAACTGTTACAAAGTGCTATGAAGTTAACCGATATACCCCAAGGAAGCCATTGATAAGAATAAAGTCCCCAAGTATACCAAATATTTATAGCAGCACTTTTTTGTGATAGCAGAGAAATGCAAGCAAAGCAAATGCCCCTTGGCTGGGGAATGGCTAAACAAATGTACGTGAACGGAAGGGGCTGTAAGGGTGCTGTAAGAAATGGTATGTGGTCCAGAGAAAGAACTATGGAGTTTGAATGCAGATCGAAGCATACTATTTGCTTTTTTTTTCTTCTGTTTTGTTTTGTTTCTTCTTTCTTGTGTTTCCTCCTATTGGTTCTAATTCTTCTTTACAACATGACTAATATGAAAATATGTTTAATAGGAATGTATATGTAGAGCCTATATCAGATTGCATGCCGTCTTAGGAAGGGAAGCTAGGAGGGAGAGAGAGAAAATTTAAAACTCAAAAGCTTATGGAAATGATTGCTGAAAACTAAAAATAAATTAATTTAAAAAAAAGAAATGTCAGATGAATACAGAGAAGCAAGGCAAGATCTATGTGAATGGATGCAGAATTAAGTAAGCAGAGCCAAGAAAACAATATACACAGTGACTACAACAATGTAAATAGAAAGAACAATGTCACACCAAAAAAATCAGAAGTGAATTAATAAATTATAAGAATGAAGCTAGATTCCAATGAAGAAATACGATAGGATAACCCTCAACCTATCCCTTTATAGAGGTGGGAGGTCCACAGGTGTTACACCATTGCACGTTTTCAGACTTTTTCAATGTATTGATTAGTTATGTCAATTTTTTTCTCTCTAAAAAATATTCATAGCAGCTCTTTTTGTGGTGGCAAAGAATTGGAAATTAAGAGGATGCCCATCAATTGGGGAATGGCTGAGCAAGTTGTGGTATATGAATGTAATGGAATGCTTTTGTGCTATAAGAAATGATGAACAGGCTGACTTCAGAAAAACCTGGAAAGACTTGTATGGTCTGATGCTGAGTGAAGTGAGCAGAACCAAGAGAGTGTTGTACACAATAACAGGTACGTTGTGCAATGACTAATATTGATAAACTTAACCCTTCCCAGCAATACAAGGATCTAAGACATCTCCAAAGGCCTTGTGATGGAAAATGCTATCCACATCCCAAGAAAGAACTATGGAATTTGAATGCAGATCGAAGCATACAGTTTGCTATTTTTTTTTCCTCTTCAGTTGAGTTTTGTTTCCTCTTTCTGGTGGTTCCTCCTATTGGTTCTAATTCTTACTTATACCATCACTAATGTGAAAATATGTTTAATAGGAATGTATATGAATAGCCTGTATCAGATTGTGCACTGTCTTGGGGAGGGTGGTGGGGAGGAAGGGGGAGAAAAATTTTAAACTCAAAAGCATATGGAAGTGATTGCTGATAAATCAAAATAAATTAATAAAAAAAATTTTTAATTTATTTTGTAAAAAATGTTTAACAGAAGAGAAAGGATTCTACTCTATTTTAGGTCCTCATATGTTCTTATCTAACTGGTCTCTCAGTTTCTAGTCTCTTATCTCTTCCCTACATCCTTCACATACTTGCCGAACTAATCTTCCCAACACACTCCCCATTCTTTACCAAATAAAGCAGTTATTCATTCAACTAGTATTTTGGGGGGGGCCTAAGCAATGGGGTTAAATGACTTGCCCAGGGTCACACGACTAGTAAGTGTTATGTGTCTGAGGCCGGATTTGAACTCAGGTCCTCCTGAATCCAGGGCTGGTGCTCTATCCACTATACCACCGAGTTGCCCCAAATCCATTTTCTCTCTCTCTCTCTCTCTCTCTTCTTTTTTTTGCTTTTTGTTAAGTGTCAAGTGTTTGGTCTGAGGCCAGATTTGAACTCAGGGCTGGTGCTCTATCCACTGCACCACCTTGCTGCCCCCCCCATTCAACTAGTATTAAGAACCCATCATAAGCAGCAGCAGCTAGGTGGCACAGTGGATGGAGTACCTGGCTCAAAGTCAGAAAGACTCTTCTTCCTGAGTTCAAATTTAGCCTCAAATATTTACTAGCTGTGTGAACCTGGGAAAGTCACTTAACTTTGTTTGCCTCAGTTTTTTCATCTGTAAAATGAGCAGGAGATGGAAATGGCAAGCCACTCTAATATCTTTGCCAAGAAAACCCCAAAGAGGCTCCACACGTCCAAAACAACAAAACCCACACACAAAAAAAAAAAAGCTCAATCGATTTGGAGCCAAAAGAGCAGGGTTCAAATCTTAACTCTGCTACTTAACTGCATGACCATGGGCAACTCACATAATCTCTCAGTGTCCTCCTTTGTAAAATGAGGGAGTTGGACTACATAAGGTCCCTCTTAGCTCTAAATATATGGTCCTATGAGCCAGTCATAGTACCTGAGATACAATGACAAAGCAGCAACTATTTTCTTTCCCTTCAAGATTACATTCTATTGAGAGGAAACCACACACACACACACACACACACACACACACACACGCAAAGAGATTGGGCCTGGATTTAGGATTTCACTGATCCAGGTAACTCCCAGATTGAAGGAAGTCCCTCTACCAGTGCAGGATTACATCTTCTCAACAGTTTACAATCTGTAAGAGTTGCCCATGCACTGAGAAGTGAAGGAACTTGCCCAAGGTCACACAGCCAGTAAGTGTCAGACATAGAATTTGAACTCAGGTCTCTCTGGTTCCAAAGCCAGCTCTTCTATCCACTACTGTATGCCTCTGAATCTAAGTTTGTACAATACACTAACAATCAGAGCAAATAAGGAAAGTCTTGTGTGAGAGGTATTTCTTGTACTGAACCTGGAAGGAAGGTACAGATTTTAAGGGAGAACATTTTAGTCCCAGAGGATAAGGAGCACATGCAAGAAGATGGAAGGGAGGATGTACTGTACGGGGAACAGTAAACAGGCTAGGTTGACTGCAAATTAAAGTGCATGTGAAGTAATAATGAGAAATTGGTCTGGAATATAACCAGGTTGTGAAGGGTATTAAATAACTAACATTTAAAGCATTTGATGCCTGGTCTGGATTTTACCCTTCAGACAATAAAGAAGCACTGAAGCTTTAGGAGTAGGGCAGGGACAAGACTGGGCCTGATGGGGTCCAGGGATTCATGCTGGACCCCTAAAAGGAAAAAGACCATGTCTTTGAACACAACCCAGCCCCTGAACTTTCCCACACATTTCTACCTAGATACTCAAT